TTCCTAAGATGTAAAGAAGAGTTCCTGGGCATTGCTGCTAATCTGGACATCAGGATGCAGCAAAGAAAACCAACAGGTTGAGGATGTGTATTAGAAAGCCACAAGGTTTTCTCAAACACTGAGAAGAAACCCCACTTTTGCATATTCATTAACTTGCCTTCACGGAGACACTATTCCAGTCTCTCTCTAAACTGAATTTCAGGCAGTCACCCCTTGGCACTTACCCCATGTTCCAAACATTCAGAAATTCATTCAGTGGCTAATAAAAGAAAGTGAAGCACAAGACCAGGATGTGCAGTACTGCTCTCCGTCATCACATTTAGTCACCCAAAATTAACATCAGTAACTTAGGTCTCTCTTACCTCAGTCTCCAAAACAGATCACAAGTCAGTGATCTCAAGAATGCCTGACTGAAAGTTGAAACAAAAGCACAGCAGACATCTGCCCCTCGGGGTACAACCCACCAAAAGCATGGACCAGAATTCCTTCAATAGAAGAAGAAATTGTATAAATCCTATGTACAGCCCAACAGCACAGCAGGGTTTGGTACCAGGATTCCTTTCAGATTCATGTTACTGAAACTGTGTGTAAGACAACATGCAATTCTAAAAATCGAGGAAGAATGCAGAGAGAAAAAAATAAATCAGCAATAGCTTTGAAATACAGGGAGACAAGGGCAATTTGATAGTACGAGATATCAGTCAAGTGTTTAGCATAAAACAGCCATAACTCAGTTAACATTGAGAATCAAACAGGAAGAAGAAGCAGAAAGTTTTCAGAAGCCATATGCTTCACTCTATGTTACTATATTTCCACCATCCTCAACACACTTGACAAAACAGAGTATAAAAAATACTGTGTTTTCTTTGCTCAAACGCAACCTCACTATGGTCTGTAAAGCATCATCCTACTTCCAGGAACAGTACTTTTGTCATAAGAAATACAAATGAAATCTATGCCAGACACAATAAAACTGCAGAAGGACTTCCTCTCTCTGCAGCTAACCATCAAAAACATTTAGGAACATGATCATAGCTAGGGAATTCAAATTTTACACCTTCAACCACAGGACTGCCTAACAGACCTAGACAGACATTTTCCCCCCCATTAAACCAGGTTAAAAAAAGAGCAACCTGATGATTCAGATCTGGAGGCTAAGAAAGTATTTGTCTTTCCTTCATTTAACTTTGGATTAAAATAGAGAGTGACTCTGTAACAAGAATTCCATTGAACATGCATCTTCTGCAGGAATAAAATGTATTTCCTGTATGATAAAGCAGAAAAACAAAACCATAAGGTTCACCATAGAGTACTTCGGGCAAACCTTAAGGCTCAAGAGAGATCAAAGCTCGCTCAACATGGGAAACATTTCATTGTTTTTAATGCAAAATGCTACACTCAGCCAGGCTAAGGACTCTTCCAAGCTCATCTGTTGGAAGCTGGGAAGGGAGAGGAAAAAAGCTTTATCAGTTTATCTTCAAAAAGAAGCCACAATATCATGCAGGTTTCACAAAGACAGCTGGACAATAAAGGAAAAAAGAGAATTTCAAGAGAATTGGGAATAGAAACAACTCCATCCGAGGGAGCTGCACAAAGTTGTTCACATAACCTATTTTACAAGTTTTACTTGTACAATCTAAGGAGAACATAAGTAAAACAAGCTCAGCAAAATATTTATGATGTTGTAAAAGTAAGCTGAGCAAGCCATGAGATCTTAGGCATCAGATTGTACCACCTCTGAACTGTCTTCAGTCCCTATTTACCCTTTGCAGCACTGAAAAGTAATGGGGAGAGGAGGGCTGAGGGTGCCACACCTGTGGGAGGAACAGCCTTGCAGGAGCCCCAGGCAGAAGGGGAGTTCCAAAAGACTCGCAGTTCAGATGGCCAAAATCAAAGAGCACGGACTTTCATGTCAGAGCAAAACAGACAAACCCTTTGTACAATTCTTGTAAAATATGAACCCGAAGTAATTGCAAAGCAGGCACCTCACAACCTTTCATCCTAGCTCTCACTTTAATGAACGTAACTTGTTTAGGGAAGTTATATGAAAAACAGTACAAGTCCAAACTAGGTCTTCTCTGAAAACCAAAAAGGATCCAGTGGGCTACAAGTAAACACATTGTATCAGAAAAAAACCCAAATTCACCCAAATTTCCAGCAGAATAACAACACTGCAATGAGTATCACTTGTATTTCCTCTAGCACCTTCCATTCAATAGTTTTGAAGTCTACAAATACAACATAGAGTTTCTTTAGTCTGTCATCTTACAAAGGGGACAAGTCCCTTAGCTTCTCTTTTAGCAAGGTCACACGAGGCTCCAAGCACTGAACACGGGTCTTCAGAGTCCTGGTCATGTGCTTCAACCAAAAAAGCGACAGAGATAAATAAAAAGATTCATAAAAGATCTAAAGTCTTATTCCTGGTCTTTCATGAAGTACCTGCTCCAAGTGCTGGTACTAAACACGAATGAAACTGCAAGCAAACATCACTGCTAACAGTAGTACTACCAATGCTAATTATTAATAGAGCATTAACAGTACAGGGCACACACATTGCGCAAGCACAGTTAATCAGCACTGCTAGGAGCAGCATCACTAGGGGGACACCAGCAACAAACATAAAATACACCAAAAAATGGCATTCTGTGAGGAAAACATCACCTGTAACTAAAGTCCATGGAAGAAATACAGAACAACAACAATCTGCTTCTGGGTTCTGAAACAGTAGTTTAAAAAATTGGAAGAACAAACAAAAAAAATTTAAAAAAATAACAGCTTCAGCTACAGACAAAGCTGTTTTGTTTGGTTTCCCATTGGCTTCCTTAGATTTTAGTGGTGAGCCTGTAGCTCCCAAGTCCCCTTGAATGATCAAACCCTTTTGCAAGTCATGGCACCAGGAGCTTTACAGAGGACTGGCCAAAACAAATGTAACAGTCTAAACTTCAGAATTTTCATGCCTTTTTTATTATAAACAGCTTTCAAAATCAACAAATGGCTAAAATTACAACCAGAGCAAAGCAGAACAGAGCCTGTCCAATTCCCACTCTTCCCTACGTCCTCGGAGGTACCAAGATTGTTGAGGTTATAAATACACAAGCCAGCTCACTTTCCAGACTCTACATCAAAATTGGTTTACACCAGTTAATCCAGTTTCTCCGTGTAACCCTCCAGGAGTCCCCATCATTAATCCTGCAAAGTGATTTAGCCCTGCTTGCTTTCAAGTTACCTAGTGTAAGGTTAAAAATAAATTCTTTAAACAAGTTAGGTCAAACCACCACAGAGAGACTGGGCTCAGGTATAAATACTGAGTCAGCCAGGTAGGAATCCAAACCCAGATTCCATTAGAGAATGTGATAAAACCAAGGGAATTGCTAAAAGGGCCTGGTAAATATTAAAAAAGCAAAACCAGGAGGCTGAGTCGCTGCTGTTTTTTGTGAAGGGCTCTGTTTCAACGGCAAGCACTGCTCCCCCTCCTTTTCCTTCCCTCACATCCAGCTCCAATTTCTTCACTTGGAAAAAAACAGCTGCTCTCAGGCCAGGACGGCCCCTCCATTCCCTTTCCACAGCTTCCCCTCACACAGCTCCACAGCAAACCCCAAGTTTCTGCTCCACGTGACATCATGTACCCCTGAACACAACCAGGAGGGCTCTGCAAATCCACACTCCTGGTATTAAATCTACAGGAGAGAAGCTTCAAACCAGTCCACCCTGAGCAGCTCCCAGGTGGCACCCAAGAGCACTGCAGACATTCCAGCACATGCTTTTGAACCTATTCCACATACAGAGTTCAGATCCTTGCCACCAGCCTCAGATGTGCAGCAGGTCCTTCCCACACCCAGCTTCTTGCAGAGGAGTATCTACCAGCTCACTTCCCTGATGCAATTTTCTCCAGCAACAAGAGAAAACACAGATTTTTTTGTTGTTGTTTTTAAAGGCAACATGAGCCAGGCCAACAGTAAAGCCCTGCCCTGACACCCAATTCAGAGCAACCAGACACAACCGACGGCAAGAAAAGACCAGGTGGAGCAGGTTAACAGAGAGAATGGCTCATTCATTGCCATGTCCTCAAGTAACCCACTGTGTGTGCCGAGGTGTCATTGTCTGTAGCTGTGAGCCCCCACCACCAGCGAGGGAGCAGCCGGGAAGGGGATGGGCAACAACATGGAAGTAAAGCCCTGCGCAAGACACAGATCGATACCTGTTCACCCAGCTGTTCCCTTCCCGAGCTGCCGCCTCCCCTCTGCCCCGACTCCCTCCGCCAGCCCCACCGGACCTCCGCTGCACCCCCTTCCCTCACACCCCCAAAGTCACAGGGACCAACCCGCCAGGAGGAACCCCGGGAGTGAGGGGATGAGACGGGACCCCTCCTGCCCGGCTGCGGGCGCAGGGCTCTCCCGCGGGTGCCGAACCCACCTCTGAGGGGGCCGGGCGAGCTCCCCGCGCCCGGCGGGGTGGGCGCTGCCCGCGCCCGCGGCCCTGCCGAGCGGGCTGAGGGGGGGGCAGCGATCTAGGCCAGGGCGAAGCTTCCCTGGGGCGGCTGCCACGGAAAGTAGGGCAGAGCCGCGTCCCCCCGCAACCCGCCGGCGGGCGCGCCGGGGCGGGGCGGCCCGGGCGGACACCGACCGACCCACGGACCGAGGGACGGACCGAGGGACGGAGCGGGGCAGCGGCGGGCAGACAAAGCGGGGCCGGGCCGCGGGGGCGCCTCTGGGGGGGGAGCGGGGGCCGTTGGCGGGGGGGGCGGTGTGAGGGGCGCCTCGTGCCCCCCGCGCGCGCAGTACCTGCCCCGGTGCGGTCACAAAGCGGCGGCGGCGCCCGCGACCGTCACGTGACCTCCCCCTTCCTCCTCCTCCTCCTCCTCCTCCACGCGCGCGCGGGGTTGCTCCTGCCCTCCTGCCCCCCCGCACGTGACGTGACGTGACATGACGCGCTCGCGTGGAGCCCCCCGTGTGTCGCGCTCCCCCCGCCCCCCCCCGGGGCCGCGCGCGCCCCTCACGCACCGCCAGCTCGCGACCATCCACCAGCCCCGCTTCCGCCTCTGCCCCCCCCCCGGCGCCCTCCTGGCGACCACGTGAGCACCGCGCGCGGGGGGAAGACCCGCCCCTTCCTTTCGCCCTTCACGTGATCGAGACTCCGCCTCCCGCCCGGCGCGCGCTCGGCAGCGGTAAAAAGGGGCGGGGCGTGGGATGGCCCCGCCCAGGGGCGGGATGAAGGACCCCGGGGGCACCTCCGTGAGGGGCTTCGTAAGGGACCCCCGGGAGGTACCGCCGTGAGGGGCCGTCTGACGGGCTCCCCTCTGAGGGACCCCTCCCCATGAGGGACTGGCGTCTGAGGAACCCCCACTGGGGCCCTCCAAGAGAGACCGTCTGAGGGACCCACGGGGGGACCGTGTGAGGGATCCCCGTCTGAGGGACACCTCGTGGGACCCTCTGACAGGGACGGCGTCAGATACGCCCTGAGGGACCCCGCGAGGGAGAACGACGTGAGGGATCCCTTGAGGGATTCCCTGAGAAAACCCCTCGGAGACCTCTGAGGGACACCCCCCCCCCGAGTACCCCCGTGAAGGACCGTGTGAGAAATCCTCCTGAGTGACCCTGTGAAGGAGCCCGCAAGGGTAACGTGAGGGACCCCTGTGCGTTGGGAAGGGGCGTTCTGGAACCAATTCTGCACTTGAGTTAATGTAAATTAATGTAAGCATCTCCCTGTCTTGCCAGGTTGGGCACAAGTAGGCACGCTGTGGACATGGAGAAATCCAGGACAAAGGATAGTTGCACCACGGGAGGAGAAGGTCAAGAAGCGTATGGTGCGGACTAATGAAGAACGTTGAGGGGGTAAACTGAACAATGATGGATGGCAAAAATGGACAGTCAATAAAGTTTGACTCCCTCAGTCAGGAGAAAATAAAAGTAAAAAGCTTTTTCCCTTTAGGCTTTTTCCTGCTGTGTATTTTTTCCACTGTTTACAGCACCTTTGGTTGCCCAAAATGCAGCGGTCGGTCATACCCTTAAAGCATCCCTTCTTTGCAAGGCCTAGCAAGACCTTTGCAAGGCTTTAACACCCAGCCTCACTCATCCTCTGTGAGAGTTGGTCCCTGCTTGGTGCTGAGCAGGCAGGGCTGGTGAAGGTGATGTTCAGCCTCTGGTGCCTCCAGTGATGATGTCCCATGGTCCTTGACCTTTGCTGTGGTCTGATTTCCTTTACTGCTGTTTGCTCATCCTCTATCCCTTGACCCTGTACTCGGCATGTAAGTAGAGAAGGCATGAAATCTGATTTTACCCTAAACAATATCTGAAAATTAATCACTGTATTTCATGCTGCTTCTTTCTCTGCTTAGAGCAAATAGATTTAACCAGACTGCATCCTTAATACTTATTGCATAGATGGGCAGAAGCTAAACAGATCCTACTGCTGAGAAGCTGCAAGACCTCCCTATTTCCATCTTTTCTCAGTAAGATAGAGGGTTCTTTGAGCTAAATTGAAATTCAGACCAAACAGAACACAGGTACTGTTGATTTTCTTCATGCAGCTGTTGATATTTTGTTTTATTACTATTGGGGGGAGACAATTACAGCTTTAATTATAGCTGTAAACAAAGTTTCACAAGCTTTGTGACAAACATGTCTGCAGATCCATAATCTGCGTGGATTTAATCAGTATTATTAGCATTCTTTTATCATGACTTGGCAATCCTTTGATAATCAAGATGGATATTTGATGTGCAGCCTAAAACAACAAAGGCTGAGAGCTCTTGGGATGCTGTAGTCAGATGGCGTGGTGCCAGCTGGAACATGTCTCCAAAAATCACACAGAATCCAGCCCAAGAGCATTTGGTATAGGAAAAAATTAAACGGGGATGTCAGAATCAAAGCACTGTAGATTCTCTCTGCTGTACATGGAGTAAATATAAATGAGAAAATGGCATACTGCACTACCAAAGCTTCCAGAAGAGAGCCAAAGGAATAAACTGATGGAAGCTCAAGATCCTCACTCCAAGTATTCATCAGGAGGAATTTCTTCACTGAAAGGGTGGTGAGGCATTGGAAGGGGCTGCCCAGGGAGGTGGAGGAGTCACCGTCCCTGAAGTGTTCAAGGAATGACTGCGTGTGGCACTCAGTGCCTCTGTTCTACTTAACAAGGTAGTGGTTGATCACAGGTCTGATTCAATATTGGAGGGTTTTCCAAACTACATAAACCTGTGATTCAGCACATTGAGCTTGGAGAGGAGACCCTGCACCAAACACAGCAAAGGTTTGACCAGTTCTGGCAGGCAAATTCTACCTACTGCCTGCGTCAGGATTCTAATCTGCTGTTACAAGGATTTGCAACCTCTTCAGTTTTCCAGCCGCTAACGAACAGCCCGGTGCAGGTGCAAATCCCAACAGGCTGTCTAAGCTTAGTGCAGGATTGCTTTTCTGAGTCCCCTACTACAGATTTCTGAAATGGGCTGCAGGCCATGTACCACAGGCTGGAAACCACCGTTGTGGTGCTTTGGCATATTCTCCTTGCCAGTCACATTCTTGAGTGGGGGAAACTGCTCCTGTTAAGAATATCTCCTTGTTCCTGGTTCAGGAGTCTGCTCTACTTCTGTTACAGTCGGAAAGGAAACCGTCTCTTCTTCAGAGGCTCGGGCTTCAGTCTGTCTTCCCTTTTGCTAATGCTCTTGTCTACTTTCCACACTGCCAACCCTTCCCCCGCAGGCTCGTTGGACAGTTAGTCTGACTGAGCTGAAGTGCAGAGCAATCTTTTGCTGCTTATTCTGAAGTTTTTATTTGCTTTGTGCCTGTTTTTTCCCAACAGTAGCAACTCTTGATCTAATAAAATATTGCTCTTCCCTACAAACTGTTCTCTCTTAACCCTGATGACACCTGCATCAACAGCACTGCCTTTCTCCAAAACACATTCCAGCCAGTTGTACACAGGCTCTGTAAGGGAGAGGCTCTGCATGAAGAAACCAAGCTTTACTTTCAGATTTGAATTTGCAGGGAATCTGTGTAGAAGGCCAGAAGATAAGGGGCCTAATGTGTCTGTCTCAAATACTGATAGCCTGCGCTGGCTGTGGAGCCAACCAAGGATTGTTGGTAAAAACAGCCAAGGATAGTTGGTAATAACACACTGTGAGAACAAACAGGATGAGGCCAGAGAGGTAGGACAGTGCTTTTCTGGGACAAACGTCCTTGTTCTGGCTCCTGGAGATAAGCCCAACACAGAACAGCACAAGGGCAGGACTGAGGTCGAGAAGGGGGATTGGGCTGTAGGGGGATATTGAGAACTCCAAAGACCCCTGAAGCCTCTGACCCATTTCCAGAAAGGTCTGGAAGAATAGACTGTGCATGAGAACGAATTTTCATAGAAAGTGAGAAACTTAACTCCGGGGCAGGGAAAACTTATCTATAAAATGGTCCCCCCATGAAGCCCATGTGCATGTTCACCCCAGGACCTGGACACCCCATCAGCTGGATCAGCACTGGAGCCAGGACTGGTGATCCCTCTTTCTCCCTGTTTCTTTCTTTCTTCCTTTCTCTCTTCCCCTCTTTAATTCATCTCTGTCTCTTTCTCTCTTCCCTTTCATCCTACCCCTTTATCCAAACCCCACTGCCATATGCTCCTAGGAGGTCAGGCACTAACATAACAATTTCCATGCCAAGTGTGTAATTTACTAATAGAACTTCATAAGATTTTGTGGGCTTTTGTCATTCCTTTTGACCACAAGCATCTACAAATCTTGGGCACTCCCTTCCCCTGGAGGGTGGGATGCCACAATCTGGAATTCTGTCTAGTTACAGTAGAACAATTGAAAATCTTGGATGCATTGTTGGGTTCTCTCAAGAGAACTGTTACAAGGATTTGATAACAAGAGATGTTAGCCTTGGGCATAGCAGGGATTGTTGCTGCATTTAGACGTGGGGTGAAACTCCTGAAGACGCTGCCTGGAAATGGGATCCAGTGTGTTGGACTGTGTTGATGGGCCGGCACAAGGAGGGCTTCAGCAACAATTCTGCTTGGAAGGGTTGCTGTTTCCGCTGAGGAAGCAAGTCCTTCTGCCAGAGATGCCGTTCATGGTGTCAAAGGCAGGAAGGATAATGATATCATTGTGTCTGGCCTTCATAAAGCCCAGGCCATTAAAATTCCTGACATCCATGGAGTGCGTTAGTCCGTCATGTCTCAGCATCATCCTGGGAATTTGTGTTGAGCTGCTTGATCATTCTTTAGAGTCATTGTGTGCCTGGAGACAGACCCTCTGCTGTAGGTGGTGCCTGCAGTCCTTGGTCCAGGTTTTCTCACCTTGTAATTTGGCTATATAAGAAAGGTGATGCATTTTCATGCGACTAGAATCTGAAATTGCTCTGCACAACCACCTTAACCCTACTGCTATTTTTCATTCCTCCAACCTTTTTCAGAAAACATTTTATCTGTGGTGACTTTGTACGTATTTCCAGATTCTGAGACAATTCAGCATGTCTGAACCTGATACTGATCCAGCAGAGCCTTGCTTAAACACTACTTTGGAAAGGGATGGTGGCAGTGGTTAATCTGTGTAGTGTGTGCTCTGTTAATGGTGAGTGCTGAGTTTGTTCTGTCATACTCCTCGATTTCATTCTGTGACATGCCCACCGTTACCTCTACCAGTCAAACAATTTCTAAGAATTAAATAGGCTTTTGTTAAACAGACTTATTTTCCACACAGCCCTGTTGCTTGGCATTAAATGTATCTAGCCTTGAATTATCTGTTTAGTCCCTTACCACTTTTCTGGGTTTTTTGCCTATGAATCAAAGAAACTAGTCCACAGGCCACTTAGTGCCCTCCTCTAACAGTGTCGTGCTTCCAGCCTCTTAAAATTTCCAAAGATTAAAATCATGTCCATGAAGCCAGAAGTTTCCCCGGCCAGCTCTTAAAGAACTTGGGTGGGCAGAGTCAGAGTAGATGATGACTGAAGGTCTTTTAAACATCCTTGCACCGTGTTGCATAGGGAATCGTGCAGCACTTTATCAAGCTAGATTTTAATGGGCCTGGTGAAATCTCAACCCTCCTTTAATTAGGTAATATAAATGTTCCTGTAATGAATGTAATAAACTTAGAGTACTGTAAAGTTGAAGTTGGATTTGTACC